GAAATTAAAAGAAAATAACAAAAAAATTTTTTTAATTGTCCAACTGGCGGTCTCTTCGATTCCATTATTTTGACAAGCGCCTACGTTCACCACGATGCCACATAAATTATTATACTGTATATCTAAGCATACAAAAAAGAAAGTATACATAAAATTATTATAGACTTTAAAGCAACAACGTCGTACCAGGACAATTCCGCTCATCGCCACCATCGGAACACTCGTATGCCCCGTCACATACCCATATGAGGGGGATGCAAGTTCCATCCGAGCAGTTGAAGTGTTCAGAAGTACACTTGACTTGAAGTGTCGTTTTTTTTTTTAAAGGAAGAAAAGAAACCAATATCATCTTCATATTTCTTTCACTGCACTCACACCGTCCCTTGCAGGTTTGTAATTTTGTTATCTAGTTTATCTCGTATTGACTACTGAATATTGCAATTGTAAGACTATTGATTTAAGCACAAGTTGTCACAACTACTGAAAGCGTACCTATGGTCATTTCTTTTGTATGGAAGCTAGATCTGGCCTCTAAATAAGGACACAGAGAGAAGACTGGAGGCCGCGATATGTAGTACATGTATTCATTGAGGGTACTCATAATCTCAGGGACAGAGAGGAAAACAAATAGAAAAGTGCTCCTAATGGTATTTGGGAAAAAAATTACAACTGAGATTCTTTCAACAAATAATATATAGATCAAATGGACGAGAGAAACTGATGCTGTGTGGAAAGATAGACGAGAATGAAGAGCAGAGGAAAAGAGAGAACTACTCACACAGATGGCCTGAACAACTTTGCAAAGAATTACACAAAGAAAAAGAAAACGGAGCTGATCAAGAAGACAGACAACAGGAAGGAATGGGGAACCATAGATGTCAATGTCTGCTCCAGACCTGAAGAAGAAGAAGAAGAAGAAGAAGAAGAAGAAGAAGAAGAAGAAGAAGAAGAAGAAGAAGAAGAAGAAGAAGAAGAAAGTGATGATGATAATGGTAATGATTACGAAAGTAACAATAACAGCAGATCTTGCAACAACAATGAACCACATATGTAGTTTACAGCTTTACAGTTTGTTACAGAATGTTACAGAAACCTCAACAGACATAATAGACATTCGAATTATTATGGCATTTAGTCGGTCGGTAAACATAGAGTTGTCAAGGCTCTTTGGAATTTGGTCCTTGGATACCCGTGAAGCATGTCAATGTCAAGTGTACACTTATTGAGCTACAGCTGTAACTGAGACTGTGTTTGGTGTTGCTGTGTGCTCAACAGAAATTATAGACGATGTCTTCCATCGTTGTTGTGCGGAATTTTTTTTAATCGATTTTGTTTGTTTTGGGGTTTTTTCTTTATTGTTGCCAGTTTTGTTTTAGTTGGGGGGTTGTTTTGTTTCTCTATGTTTTGATTGTTGCTGTGATTTTTTCCCTCTTTATAATGCTATTAATATGCAACGAAGTTTATTTAAAATATAAAATTTGTTTTTCCAGGAACAGAAACATATTCTATTTGCTTGTAACTGCCGAATCTTTTGACCCCCTTACACGGAAATGTTAAAGAAAGATAAGTGTTACCTCAGTCCCATTAAAAAAATTATTTTTCCCCAAGAAAAGTATTAAGCAGTGAGAAAACAAGAATCTTTAAAACTAATTTCAACTTTCATCTTCCCAGAAAATAGATCACAGTTAGTAGAAAAAAAAGTACAGAAGATTAAAACCATGCACGCATAAAAGCAACTTTACTTTTTATAGAAAGCCTACACAAAATGGTCTCACAAGTGTTTTGACAAGGAACACCTGACGATCAATGAGGCGGCGTGAAGCTTGATTGTCTGGGCCAACCTTACCTAATCATGATTCTACATTCCAACAGTAAGGTGGAAATGCTTGAGAAAATATCTTCGCCGTTTAAGAAAACCCCAATCATTTGTGAGGCATCGAGGTAAAAATCAGGGGCTCCAAAGAAAATGAAATCAAAGAAACCGGCATTTTCTGGCCGTCGTGAATTGTTTTTCCGAATTTTCCTATTTAGCTGAACACCTTATAATATGTTCATTAATGTACACATTTTAATTTTAGTTGGGCTTTTTTAAACGGTGATGAAAGGCATACAAATGTAAATTTGCAGCTTTTTAGGACTAGTTTTTAAGTCATCAACATTTGGCCGCCATTTTCTCTCTAATTTTACCTCTGACACCAGACAACCCCGGCCTCCTGTCACTTGCTATTACCTCCCCTTCTATTCAAGATAGACGGGTGGATTTTTAAAAAATCCAAAGCAAGAGAAATTAACAAGCTTTAAGATGATATCAGTAACTCCAAATGTCCAAAGTTTGACGAGCACACGATTCCACCATGCCGTGACACATTTTCATCGCAGACGTTGGGAAAAACGTTCGGTTTTCCAAACTGCCAGAAGACGATATACACACGTTTGACCTTTTACTGTACCTGGGAAATTATGAGTGGCATTTCAAGTCATGGATTTAATTCCTGATTCTTAAATAGTATTCATAACTATGACGAATAGTCCATGTGCTTGTAGTTGAAGGGCGCCACTGGAGTGGTAACCAAGATGTGATGCTATCACGCCTACGTTAACTGACCATGATTCAGCGTTGTTCCCCGTTAATTTGCTAAAGACAAGGGAATATTCGTTTTTCAACACTTCTTGGAAAGTTTTCCAAGTTAAACCTAATACAGCACTACGACAAAACAGTAAGCCATTCGTTTTATCTGCGTATCGTGAACAATGAAAAGTAAAAGAAACCAACCACACCAACACGACATAACTGTTTATTAATTGCGCTTCTCCTTTTTCCATTGCCCAAATCTCACCGACGAAACAATTGGCCAATTGTTTTGTAAAAGTGCAGCACTTCTCTTGGAAAATTGTAATTCCACTGTTACTGAGAACCTTTTCCGTTTCTAAACTCTAGTATTCTCGTGTCTGACAAAAACAAGACCAAGAGAAGATTGAAACTAAAAGAAATTGTGAGACATGACATTACTTTAAAAACACTGCTATGTGAGTGGTTGTTGACACAAACTGAGATAAAACAATAATTTTCTGAGTTGGAATTCATGAAACGTTCAAAAATAGCTGTTATTTTTACAAAAACTTCCGCCTAATGTTTAGCGTCATCTAACCACAAATATTTTTTATGTTGCCACGTTAGTGGGAAAGTCCAACGCCTGTAAAACGCAAATGGAAATCGTTGAAGCAATGCTCAAAAATAGAATCAGCTCCAAATATTTAATTTGACAAAAACGTAGGAGGCAGTCGTGTATAGCTTCAGAAAAGAGGTTTCCCGTCGAGCCCGGCAAACCTCCCACAGGCATCTTTTGATTCGTCTTAACAATGATGAGGTGAGTACCGCTGAACAATGTTGACGCTAGAATACAACTGATAGTTGCTACTTCAATTATTTCTCTCGGTTGTCCCCGACTCCCTCATATGACATTCTGCAGTTGTGGGCGCCATAAAACTCTTATCAAAACAAAACAAGACCACCTGTCTTGTGTTCGTCCTCTTACACCAAACTGTGGTTGTCATGCGAATGCCCTTCTCTATACTCAGACTATTAAGGCAAACTATTAACAAATACTAGAATATCGTTAGCAAACGTTCCTTTATAAAGGTATCCAGAACCAGGCATGTTTGTTGAAAATAAATGAGTTATGAACCAAAACATTGCGTCACTATTTTACCTACTTACCCCAGAAAGTGAGGGGATACTTTCTATTCCAGACCTATGCAAATTAAGTCCAAATGTGAAACAGAAAGTCAGTCTACAAGCTAACCTTTATACCCCCATTTTCAGTGCATATGCACTATGAAAAAAAGCCTTGTACTTTTAGATAATAATATATATAAATATACATGGGAGGCTGTTTTGATGCTTTAATTCCATTATTTCACATTTTTTGTATTTTTTACATTGAGGGTTTATTTCAGTTTTGGAATTTTCTTTACAGATGACATACCAGTTTCGTATTAGAATATTTATTCATTTCCCATCTTTTTCTCTGCTGCTTTTCTCTTTTTTCATTGGTATTATTACAACGAATCAATCATATAATGGCAATTAAATGGACGTCGAGCAAGTGATGTCCAGTTAGCCTACTAACCTTCATGTCCTATTGATGCCTTGTGTAGGTTTTGTGAGACAGCAAAGGTGAGTGACGTGAGCTTTGTCTAGTGAGTAGCCAAAGCGCGTGCAGAGTGTTTGTGAGCCTTCCTTCTGCTGCTCCGCTGAATGACTCTCTCTCCCACTTGTGAATCTGCTCGCTCTCAAGTCGTCAACTAGTTCTCCCCCACACGGCCGGACACTTTTAGCAAAAGTCAACCCACTTCCCTCCTCTCAGATTAAAAAGTCAACAGAAAATCTTCCAACTCCAAGACGCCCGAGGGCTTAGCTGGAAGGGACGGCTGGTTGTGTTAACAAATGACGCGCGTCACTCAACACACAAATACACACGCGCTGA